TCTTCTTTTTTTAATCAAAGAATTAGTTACTATGATTTCAAAATTTAATATTAGTAGATGAAATTTGGAAAATTGTTCCACATTGAAATTGAGTGTCTCAATACACCATTCTCATTTTTGCCATTTTTTACCTATATTATCCTTAAACAAAAAATAATAATTAGAAATAAATGGTTTTAAATTTTTTTAAAAATACTATAATTACAAAAACGTATAATAGTATTAGAATATACAAATAAGTTTTGATAAAAGGGTTTTCATAAAACTATGTTTAAATCCATCTAAACCATATAAAACATATGTTTAAATCCATAGCCTAAATCATAGGAAACATAGAGAAGCTATCTAAAACCAGAAATCGAAAGCAATAATCGATCTCCCAAGGTAAACAATGGTGGAGTCAGTATGCGCTTCAGGAGTTTCATACTTTGACAAACGGTCAATCAAAACGGGATCATTTGCCGCTTGGAATAGATCAATTGCAATCCGGTTCATGTCGTTCTGTAAAAATTTTTTTAGGCAACTCTAATTCCATACCTACAAATAATTAAACAATGAAAAATATCAAACCTTGGATAAGTAATTAACATTTTTTAAAATTATCAAAGTATTATGAACATATTCAAAAAGAATAAAGTAACAAAATAAATTAGAGTTAATTACTAGAATGACTTTGGAAAATAGGGTAATTACTAGAATGACTTTGTCAAATCTAGTAACTTGACAATACTCGATAAAAGACAAATAAACTTTAATAATCTATTTTATTTACGCAACTGCCATCCTGAAACCTAAAAAAAAAAACTTATAAATCTATCATAACTATCCAATAAGTCTACCACCACATGTATACGTTGGAAATTCTTTAAACCAATAAATAAAACATTTGTTTGAAACCACCGTCGCGGAGGCTGCGGAAGCACCGAGATTTAGGTAAAAATTGAACTAAAAATCAAAAGTTGAAAAAAAAACTCAAAATCTTTTGATTTTTTGTTAGAAAATGGATATATGATGTTA